ATAGATGATTTCTGTTCCACAATATCCATTATATAGTGCTAAAGGTTATCTATACAGGATGTCTGAAGAGCTTAGTGCATTTTTTGACACCATCCTCTTGTCCTTAATGCTTCGTTTTAATGAAATAAATAAAAACGAATAAATACACATCCCATAAACAATAAACAAAAATATAACCTTCTGAAAAGTTTGTAGTTTCTTAAATTTATTGTATTTTAAGAAACAACATGAAAAAGAAAAGAGTTCAGTATCAATGAGATTCAAAAATATGCCAACGGGCATATAAGTGTTTCACAAAATAATATACTAGCTATTATTGGCGGCACCACATAAGAATTGAGCCCCACTCAGAAAATTTTTTACAGTTACTGGTAACGGCGATCTCACTGGAATTTTGATGGGAGTAGAGCTACTCGCTCTTGTTCCCTCTTTTACCTAAACATCTTTTATGGACGACTTCGTACTTTATCGGAATACGGAGCTCATCCCATTGAATGTTATCTTGATGAAGATAATAATTGGTCATTAAGTATGGATGAACTTGAACGTTCATTAAATGAATCGAAAGATCGTTGTGAATCACGGGGTATCGTCGTTATTAATCCTGGAAACCCTACAGGCAAGCTATCAACATTACTTTATTTGATTTCAGTGTTACTTTTTTAAATTTAGGTCAAGTCCTTTCACAAGAAAATATTGAAAATGCGATTCGTTTTGGTAAGAAAATGAAAAATCTATTTTTTTTTCTTATAAATGAATAATTATGTACTGTCTTTATTTAATTTTAGCTAATAAACATCGATTATTTATATTGGCTGATGAAGTTTATCAAGAAAATGTTTATTTACCAGATTCAAAATTCGTTTCATTTAAAAAGGTGCTTATGAGTCTTAGTGCACCCTATAATCAATTGGAATTGGGTACTGAATGTCTTTTCTTCCTCATCTTTTAATTTTTCTATTTCTCAAATTTCTTTTTTTATTTCAGCTTCATTTCATTCAGCATCAAAAGGTTGGTACGGAGAGTAAGTATTGATTTGATAAAAACTAATTTAAAAAAAAACAATCGTTTTCAGATGTGGTTCTCGTTGTGGTTATTATAAATTAATTAATATTGATAAAGATGTAAAAGTACAATTAAATATATTACAATCAGCACGTCCATGTGTCACATCTTGGGGTCAAGCTTGTTATGGAAGCAATTGTGAATTCTCCTAAAGACGGAGAACAGTCCTATGAACTTTATCATCACGAACGTTCAGCAATTGTTAATCAACTAAAAGAAAAAGCCGATCTTATCCGTCAATTGTTTAACTCAATGGATGGTGTTCAATGCAATATTATTATGAGATTAGTTCAATAAAACAAGACTCTTTTCTCAAAAAAAAAAAAACAGCAGACCTATTATTTTAGTGCAATTTATGCATTTCCACGTATTGAAATTCCAAAAAAAGCAATTGAATATGCTAAATCAAAAAATATGACTCCAGATGAATTTTATTGTTTTCAATTACTTGATAAAACTGGAATATGTGTGCTATCTGGTAGTGACTTTAAACAACGGCCAGGAACATATAATTTACGTACAACATTTCTACCACCTATTGATCAAATGAAAGAAATGGTTGAAAGATTTCGTACATTTCATATGTCATTTTTACATCAGTGGAAATGATTTTCTTTTGCTTTTTCTGTTTTTGTTACTAATTACTTGTTTTTCCAAAAGAACCAACTGATAATCATTTTTTCCTCTAATAAAAAAAAAATCTAATTGTTTACCGTTTAAAAAGACGCACACACACATCCTTCGTATAAAAAAATAGATTTTAGATTTTTTCGAAGTCGGAGTCCAGTTTCCGAATCAAAAATTTTGATTTAATTGATTTTTAAATTATATATTTTTTCGTCGTATTCTTTTTCTATCTATTATAAATTTTATGATGTTTCGTCAAACGAGGTTGACTTCATTAGATTGTACAATGTTGCACATCTATATAAAATTTATGCATTTAGCATTATTTTCTTTATTCTTTTGTTCGTTCCACTAACAATAAATAGTAAAAGGAAATCAAAAGAGAAAATAACGTTATATGCAAAAAATTTTATATAGATGTACACTATTATATGGTCTAATGAAGCTAACTTCGTTTACTGAAACGTTATAAAATTTAAGGTAAGAAACAATTGGAAGATAAAATAAGCAATTCAAAAAAAAGCAATTTAATATGAACTTCCTTAGTGTTTATTAAATACTGATTTGAAACAAATTAAACAGATTCATAGTTTGACGATCTAAAGGCTTACAGTACAATTTCCAAGGGATAAAAATATGAAACATGATGACGGCGCCATTGTAGTAAATGAAAATACTGACAATATTGAATACAATTTGACAGAGGGGTGAGCTGATCAGATTTAGATTTATCGACTGAGGTCTGTAGAGTAGACTGTTGGAAGCGGAGCACACACACTTTTTACTAAAAAGTTCAACACTGATTAATAATCGTGTTTCTCATAGCAGAAATCAAAATGAAGAGACACTACATTGTGTCTTAATAATCGACACTAGTCACAATCGAAAGTAATTAGGAATCTGTCTTCACTATCAAAAACTATAGTTATATTAGGATATACTCGAGTTTCTTGTTCGAATGGAAAGTCTACATTTGATGCAAGTTTTGATCTACAACTTATATACAATACTTGTTCTATCAAGCAATTGATAGCACTTTTTTCTAAAGAGCATCCCAATGAAGCTAATTCCTATTCAATTCAAAATAGTTGCAAACTTGGTACACAATCAGCAAAAAAATGGCAATGAACAAGTTATTCTTCTTGATACATAAATGATGAATATCTCGCTTGATAAGCATTCACCTTTCCTTTCTTTGTTACTCAATACATGAAGGGCAATTTTTGGAACGTTTTATGCAAAAAACCTGTAAAACAAAACATCAAAAACATAAAAATTTCCATACTCGTACTGTTGGAGTTTGCTGTTAAGATTGCGTCTTGACAAAGAATAATCTATGAATCAGAATTGGACTTGCTAATCTTGATTTCTATCCTTTTATCGTACAATTAACTCGAGTCCAATGTTGTACAATCTCGAAAATCTTTCTACGCAAACATGTTCTTTTTGAGATGATTGCTACCTAGTTGCTGGAGACTTAGCCGAGAAGACTTGTTTGTTGTCTGACACAATGAAAGATAAAGAAAGTCTCACGAGTTGCAATCTTTTTCTATTTTGTCAATGACATCCCTGATAGTTTTATTAACTTCGAGAAGGACGATGCAACTGTGCAATATATCTATGAAAATATAATTTCGTTTCGATTCTAATGCTACCTTTGTTCGTTCGACCTCAATCACTCTCCAAGACGTGCAAACACATCGTGTTAAGATTATTTATATGTAGAATGAGAGCGATCGTATGGAGCATGTCATTGATCTTCAGCAGACACAAATCAAACAGGCACATTGTTTTATCCATAGCAATTCTTAGAATCACCCTGTCAACATATTTTATATTAATCGTTTCGCTTAAACAGTTGCAAACAATGTTGTGAAGACCATATGAACGAATTGTATGAAGTCCATGACAAGTTTCAGTCACTTCGAATTGAGATTGGAACTCTAGCATGAAATCGAGTTTATCGCTAGCTAACAAGCACAATACACAAAGAAAATTCGAAAGAGTAATAATATAGTCTTGTCTTGAGAGAGAAGCATAGAAACTCAGTCAAGCGAAGCTTATCGACAATGTTAGATGATCGTGTATTCAGAAGATCTTCGGTCAACAATATCTTGAAAATGTCTTAATCAAATGATCGATGATTTCTTATCTGGCAGACACATTTGATCATGAACAAGCGAACGACAATAGGTATTCTGACGCAAATTGAAGATATAATCATTGAATAAGTCGAACGACCTGGTTTGATGAAACCCAAGTTGATAGATCTCAATACTGAAGAAGATGATTTTTAAACGATAAAAAAAATCCATTTGATAATCATCAACAATCGTGGGGGAAAAGAAAGCCTCGCTTGAACATAAAGCCAAAGAGGCACAATAGTATTTACGCATTGTATATGACTTTCTTTGATTGGTTGGACAAAATTAATGAGAGAGATTTCTCAAGTCAAAATGTGTCTTATTTTCTACAATTTTCTTAGATATTAAAGATCGTTTTTTTCCATCTAACTATTTGAAGGTTTCGAACATTGAATTCACTCATTGTCTGTTTCTTAACTTTCCACTCTGCTTTGCATAAGTCAAGATAGTTTGTGTTTGTTCAAAACGAATTTAAGCTTCCGATGTACATTTGATATGACTCTTCAATATGGTGTTCACGATCATCGTTCTCAGCATCAGAGCTCATCACAACACTGAAATTACACGTTCGATACCCAGTGACCTCTATTATCACATTGGACATTGACATGATTAACATCCAATTGAAGACTCTTCGAAGACAAATAAGCAGGCAATCAATACTTGCAACAAGATTGTCGTTTACTTGTTGCTGGCATTGAGGTATGTTCAGATTTCTGAAAAGTAAATTTAAACTATAGCATACGCCATCGTATAAAAGAACGAAAAAAAATCCATTTTAATGGTAATTTTGAGGATTTTCATCAAAAACAAACCTTCATGCATTTTATTACTCAAAAAAAAAATCGAAATCATCCGATCACTTTCATTACTTTCGCACAATTTTCGTACCACGAATTTCATTATGAAGAGAAAGTCAAAATGACATTATTTTTATTATTTTCGCATCATTCGCATTTCATGACCTTGGTTATTAGTAAAACATCAAAATCATTACAAAAGTTTCATGATGTTTGCATCATTGTCATATTGTGGACTCTACTGTTCCTAAGAAATCTAAATCGTAACATAAATTTCGTTACTTTTTCATATTTTCATGTTGGATTACTATCATTGAACTTCTTTATTTGAGTAACTAGTTTTTTAATAAAGTCTCAGATGACTGAATCCCTTATTCGTCTTTCAATGGACATAAGTTTTAATGAATGATGTTAATGTAAAATACATGATGAAGCAACATAGAATATCTTGGATGAGAATTCCAGTATTTTCTGAAAGGATTCGCTCAGGTGAGGAACCTGAAGACGACAGCGACAAAACAAGGTTGAACTCGATGAGCTCTATCTGATATACATCCGGTTTTTTCGAATAGGGTCCACCATCATAAAGTAAAACTGAAAAAAACTACTAAAAATATCAGAAAGGCGAAAAGCCAGAAAAACCAGTCGCGCTACACTCAAAAGGAGGACCAAGACACGAATTAACCAGATAAGGTAAAATTCGACGAGCTCTATCGAAGATATTCCTTTGGACTTTGACTTAGTGCTCCCTTTCCTGCGAAAATAATCATAAAAGTCTGACAACTCAGGATTTTTGCTAAAACTGAACTCGGTTCGCTCATGAAGAGGACCAATCCACAATGTTCTTGAACCAAGATAGAACTCCACGAGCTCTATCAAATGCTCACCTTGAAAATCCCGCTCTGCATTACTGTCACATGAAAAACTAGTAATACAGCCCGAAATTCTAAGATAGATTTCAACGTACTCTAACAAATACGTATCGTACAAGCTGATCCCGTATAGCTTTCATCTAGAAAATGGGCGATACGTGGCAGATTTCTAGAGGGTTTCGCTTAAACACGTCGGTATCTGCGAAGATGCAGAATTCTCGCCAATGAGAATTCAGAATTTTAAAATCCGATCGGTAAACAGTGGATTAGTTCACTATGATAAATTCTCATTAGTGAGTAAGCTACTAAGCACCACACTAACCTATCAATCCGTCAAACAACAGAATTCTGCTAAGAATTCAAAAAATACACCAGAGTTTTGACAGAATTCTCTTCCTAATAGCAGAAGATAAACAAGATCAGCAGAGGTCAATACACACTCCTGGCTACTCTCCAATGCTAGTGAAGAATATAAAAATAACAGCAGAATTTATACAGAATTCTGTTACAACTAACAGAATACGAACTTTCGATCGATATACTAAAATCGTATATCTCCAACAGGAAAAAAAATATCAACAGAATTTAAATAGAATTCAGTTACGAGTAACAGAAGACAAACTTTGAGCATGCATACTAGAAGTGTATATCTCTCAGAGTAAAGCAAAATCCTAATGATGAATTGAAAAAAAATGAGCAGAACTTAAACAGAATTCTATTAGGAGTAAGGGAAGATAAGCTTCGAATATGTATACTGCAGGTGTATATGACCAACAGAAAAGAAAAATTCTATTGAAGAATTCTAACACACCAGAGCAGAATTTTAAAATCTAATGAATATCAACACATATATACGTTATCTTTGATAACATAGAATACTAAGCAGAACTTAAACAGACCAGAATGGAATAGATTGTCTTTGATAATACAGAATTCTAGGCAGAATATAAATAGACCAGAAAAGAATTGTACTATCCGTTGATCGCTAGCTCGTGTAAAGTTTGTCTTGTGAAACATAGAATTCTATTGAGAAATAAGAAAATAAAAACAAAATTCTAGTATGGGATAGTCAATTCGTTTTAAAAAAATACATAAGTCCACGGAATTCTGAATTTTTCTTGGTAGGCATTCTGCAACTACTGCGCTATCTGGCTCACGACCAATGG